TCCGATGCGACAATAGCGAATCAACCGCGATCACGGAGCGACAATAGCGAATGAAGAGAATCAATCAATGATAATCGCGACTTCAAAGCGATCGCGAAAATCGCGACTTATTTCGCGAGAATCTTAGCGTTCGCGGCGCGAATTTTTATCGCGAGTCGCGCCGCGACTTCAGCGTGACAGTCGACCTGGGAACATCAGTTGCCGCCGCTGAAATAGAAGGTATGACAATTCATTCCTTTCTGAGTGATGGACGAAACCAAAAGACTAAATCCAAACTCATGAATCGACCGGGACATATGAAGCTCGAGAATGCATGGCGCTTTGTCGAGTACATCATTCTGGATGAAATGTCAATGGTTGGACTTAGTCTATTGGCTCGATTAAACAAGCTTGTTGCAACGGCAAAACACTGCGATCCTATGACAGCGATGGGTGGTATCAACATCATCTTCTTCGGTGACTACAATCAAAACTCACCTGTGTTCGATAAACCTCTGTACCATGACTTTGTGGAAACGACGAACGGTAATGTGAGAAACAATACGAAACTACCTTCTGAAAATGAAATTCAGCAAAGAAGTGCTCGAGCATTGACTCTACAGATTAATTGTGTTGTTGTGCTTGAACAACAAATGAGAACAAACGATTTGGCTTACCAACTATTATTGAATAGAGTGCGCAATGGTGAAGGCACAAGTGAAGACTGGCTTTTGCTTCGAACACGCGTTATTGGCTTAGGACTGCGCATATCTCTCAATGATCCGCCATGGAACGAGGTACATTAAGTATACGATCTACTAGTTGATAAAATGAAGTTCGTCACAAAAGCTAGTTGTTGATAATCTTTGTTTAAGAACCTTTAGCCATCCTATAACACTATATTTTGTGATTCGTTCACAACCAATTAATCCTCTCTATTGAGATTATAATAACTGATTCGAAAAAAAACTAACACGACTTTATATACACGAACTAATTGTTTGTCTGTTAAGGATTGTTGGATAGGCTTTAGACTAAGAGAAAACTGTTTTGATCTAAATACAAAATTTGGTTTTAATGATTGATCATCTACCATATGGCTCCCTAAGAGAAATAACTACTTCTAATAATTTTAGGCTCCAGTCCTTGTGTATCGCAATGAACTTCGCACTGAACTAAATAATCGAGCAGTAATCAACAAGGCGTATGAAACAGGTCAATCACCGACCGTTGTAATTTCGACAGATACAATAAAAGCAAAAAAGCATATTGATCTCCCGGATTTGACAAAACGACTTCTGGCTCTACCTGTTATTAAGCGGAACATTTACCTGGCTACCTTCCTCTCGTGCCTGGGATGCCTGTATTACTACAGGAGAATATTGCTTGCGAGCTGGGTTTATCGAACGGTACACCAGGAATCTTTCGCCAATTGATTTACAGTGAGCTATCAGAGCAAACTACTAACTCTGACGAAGGAGTATTTACGACCGATACTGTATTTATGCGCAACGCTCAATATGCATTGGTAGAAATACCGAAGTAAAAAATGACGAAGCTAGATTCACTTGATCCCCTTATTATACCTATTCCTGCAATCGAGAAAACGTTCGAAGTCAATCTTGAAAAGCTGTTGAAAAGCTGCAAGGGGCCGATCGTGAAAATACTCAACTCAAAAAAACTCAAGACTACTATTACTGTGAAGAGAAAAGGTTTACCTTTGGTGCCAGCCTTTTCCATAACGACTCATAAGAGTCAGGGTCAGACATTGCCAAAAATAGTCATTGATCTAAATATGCCTCCCAGAATCGTAGAGGTCGCATCGGCTTATGTACCACTTTCACGAGTACAACAGCTTACGGATTTGGTTATCTTGCAAGACTTCAGCATTACTGCACTACAAGTAAAGCCATCTAAAAAACAAATAACCGAAATTCAGAGATTGAATGCCATTTTTGAAGAGACAAAGCGTCGCTATGCTCATTACTTTGTTTGACACAAAACGTTGTGCATTCACATTATCTTGTAGTATATAACTGATGAAAATCATTTTTTTGCTCCTAACAAAAGAGTCGAATTATCGTTCAACGTTTGGTTGCGAGGGTGAGAAATATTGGTTGTACATAATAAATAATACACGCATTTATAATTACGACTGGCAATCGGCTTGTAAAACAACAAACATATTCGTTTTCAAGTACATGATAACTGTAATTCCTTAATTTTTACATTGATTTTTCTGTTCTACCATTATTTTTATTATGTTACTTTTTCTTCTATCTCTGATATTGTAGTCATAAGAAATAAGCAGATAAAAGAAGCTGATACAGCGTCTACTTTGTAAGTTACCATCTGATCTTACTTTACATATATAAAGAAAACAAATCTTTAACCAACCAACATCCATCTCTTTCTCTTTTCATCAAAATCTATTTTCTATTTGTTCATCTCTTCTGCCTTCTTCATCTCGCTATGGTGATTATAGTACGAATTTACTATTTTATAATATAGGTGGAAATTACCGATATTGTCCGAAGAAAAATGCAACATTCATTTACTAAATGGCGTGTTTCTCTTTTCTTTCATTAACTCAATTATTCTGAAATCTATTCATTTTTTGTTTTCATTATGTAAAAGAGAATAAAAATAAATTCATCGCTTCTGTTCAATCCAGCCATATTTTAATTAATATTGGTAAGTTATATGAATTATAGTTTGGATAAGTCGATGATCACAATATGCTTACCTCTGTATCAGAATAATAGTATTTCTTCACATTAGTCTATAAACACTTCGGATGACAAAAAACAAGCAGCGAAAACGAGAAAATAAATCTAGTAGAAGCTTTAACATTGGGTTTACGAACGTTTGAGATGACAAATCAACCTTTGAGATAGAAAACTGGAAAAGTCTGTGGTGATCATTATCTTATCCAACTTAATCATATAACTTAATTGAAGGAAAAATCGAAAGATAAACGTTTTTATTGCAAAAGAAAAATTGTGCTTGTAAATAAATGTTTATCACGGCAGTAACATATACGACAATAAATCCAGTAATCCCTTACAAAGGACATTTTACAAAGGACATTTTACAAAGGGCACTTTACAAAGGACATTCTTGACTGTTACTGTATAAATACACTTGCACATTTTATATCAACTATTTCAATTGAAATAATGTTCTCGTTAGTTATATCAAACTTCTTGCTGTTTTCAGTTTCACTGTTTGTTAACCAGGTCCTTACAGCCACAACTGGTCCTTTTCAGACAAATACTGGTGTAGTTGTCGGACAAGTGATGGAAATAGATGGCAAACAATTGAATGTCTTCAGAGGTATACCATTCGCAAAGCCACCGATAGGAGACCTGAGGTTCAGAAAACCGATTCCAATCGACAATTGGAAAGAATCGAAAAACGTGTTCGACTTCCAAGCTGCGTGTCCTCAAGACCCGACCCGATTCCATACGGGTGACTCTATGACCAATAAGAATATTAGCGAGGACTGTCTTTACCTGAATGTCTGGTCACCGGTCGGTAGTAGTGTCAATAGTCCGTTCAAACCAGTTATGGTATGGATTCACGGCGGAGGTCTACTTGTAGGCTCTCCCAGTGAATACAGTTACCATGGTGATATGCTGTCTGCCAGAGGAGATGTAGTTGTCGTATCGATTTCATACAGGTCTGATACAATATTACCATGGTAGCAAACAGAATTATATCTTTTGTATCTTGTATGTTTAAAGGCTCAACATATTTGGTTTCTTGTATTCTGGTGATAGTCAAGCACCTGGCAATGTCGGCCTTTTGGACCAGAATCTAGGTCTCAAATGGGTCCAAGATAATATACATTATTTTGGTGGAGACCCCAATCAGGTGACAATTTTCGGCGAAAGTGCTGGTTCTTGGTCTGTGAGTCTGCACGTGATATCACCTAAAAGTCAAAATTTATTCAAGAATGCAATCATGAGTTCGGGCGCTTATCTCAACAAATTCGATGACGACAGCAGTTTGGATCATATCAAGCGCTGGCTTAAAGGCGCCGCAAGGATTGGTTGTTCCGATCCATTGAACCTGGGAATAGTTTTCACCCAGCAAATAATGGACTGCCTTAGAGCTGCAAATATTTCCCAATTGATAAAAGTCACCGATTTCTTTGACCTAATAACGGGATCAGTTAAGGTGTTTCCTTTCGTGGTCAGTGACGGAGATTTTCTAACGTACAAACCAAGAGATATGTTGAGCTGGGGTAATTTTAAAACAAATGTTAACCTGATGATCATCACTGTTGAGGACGAGGGTGCTTTTCTGCTCAACAATTTCAACGATACCGTGATATTCGATGCCTTGAATCCAAAGAATATGACTTACAATGAAGCCTATAATTATTTACGAGATATGTCTGGGAGAATGAATAGCGAACTGCCTATCAATGGAGAAGATGTGGCGAAACTATATTTCACGGGACTGTCCGACAGCGACAGCAATGAAACATTGTTGAAAACTCTAGGCATAGCAACTGGTGACTACTTCCTTGCCTGTCCCACTAAGCTCTTCGCCAAAACAGTCTTCTCCAAGAGTAATTACCATGCTAATGTCTTTGAGTACTACTTCAACGCCAAACTACAAAATAATGACTTTTGTTCCTATTGGATGGGTGTCTGTCATGCACATGATGTAGACCCAATGTTTGGCATACCTTTCGTCGCTCCTTACGCTAACGACTATACCGATAGGGCGCGCGAGATCTCCGCTCAAATGATGCAATTCCTCACTGATTTTGCCAAAACAGGGTATACTTGTTAAAATCAATTTTGAACCATGATTATTTATTAATTTCTTTTTTAGGAAACCCACGCCTCAAAACGGAGCTGAATGGCCAGGTTATTTTACAACTAACGGCAACATCATTGCTCCTTATGTTGAGATTGAAAACGAGAAGAAAAATACTTCGAACATCAAGATTGGTTTTAAAATTGATGCATGCGAATATCTGTGGAAGAAATATATAACTTATAATTTTTAATAATAATTTTAATAAGTTGTACAGTGACCAACCCTAATTCCATCACGATTTTCAATTTTTTTCAATAAACTCTTAATATCTCTGCTTCCCGATATCCGATCGAGCTGCTTTTTGGATAGCGGAATAGAGCAAACATTTCTCTATCAGATCATTCACTTTGTATCATTACGCATCTAATTGTGACTGAACACTGGGTCTGACAAAACAATCTATTATCAATTTTTGCTCGTTCTGTCGCTGTTTCAATTCCATCATCACAGCTATTTTTCTTTTCTATTCTCATCACTCTAAGCAAAAATACAGCGAAGTTTTACTAAAAAGTTCTTTTTTGACTATAAAATCAGTATTTTTTCGGTCACAAATAGCATCATTCGATTCATTAGATGAATCTACATCGATATATATAAAATTCAAGGATCTTTCACGGTCTTTTCAACCTTTTTTTTATTGTTACACATCAGAAATATGCGTGATGAAATTAAGTTACATGTCTTAATTCCATCACCTCCTTCATTTCTCTTTCTTAATTCCATCACATACAAGAAAATCTATGGAAATTTGTTGATCATCAGTAAAAAAGATGGTGGTGCTACTTAGACTTTGTAAATTCGATTCACATCACACACAAAAAATTTAGTTTATATCTAAAGCTGTCTATATTAGTAATGGAGAGCAGATTTTAGTATTTGCTTCTCAGAATATAATTACTTTCTCGTAAATGTTGTATTCCGTGGTGTAAATGTTGTATTCCGTGGTGTTTCAGGAGCTCTATTCTTGAACATGCTCGCTGATGTCGACAGTTCGTGGAACAAATAAGACGACAGAACTGATCATGGGCTCGTCATTTAGAAAATTAACTGATTGGATTAAGGATAGAGTAATTGATAGATCCGATGATAGTTAATCAAATAGTTTCGAAAAAAATAACACTAAATAGAAAACTGCCAAAAAAATCGAGTGTGCGAGAAAACAACTTCGCATGTGGATCAAGAATAAAACGGAATTAATCGAATTATCATCTCGAAAGAAAGGTGAGTAATTAAATTTTACCTGACAATGTACAATTAACTGAAGATCTAATGTTAATTCATTAAGGTTAAAAGCGCAAGCGTCTCGATGGTGCTGGAAAGAAACTGACATACCCTGACCTCGACTCTCGTTTATTTGCTTGGTATCACGAAAAGCGCACTGCTCCTGAATCAACAACAAATGTTGCCGATAATCGCAAGGAAAAGGTGACATTTCGACAACTTGAACGTCGATGACAACAATTAAGCGAAGAACTAAAACATCCATGCCCATCATCCAAATGGTTTGGCCGATTTTTTGTGCGTCATCGACTATCCCTTCAACGTCCTAAACGACAACAAAAAATTCCGCTGGATGAAGTCCATCGAAAGGCAACTTCATTTTACTCATTTCTTCGACGAGCAAGTTGTTGGGACCCAAAACGAAGCGCAATGGGTGCGTTTACACCTCATGACGTGTTCAACATGGACGAATCACCTCTCTCACTGTTTGGTGACCAAACGAAAAGATCAATCAACGATATCAATACCTGCAATGAAGTGGAAGGTTGTTTCAGCGATAAAGTGAGTACTTCTTTTATTTCTCTCCCAAGATAGGACGAGTCAATCCGTTGATTTCTCGAGAGTTTTTTCAATTTTACAGTAGTTAGACGTAGTGATTTTGCTCCGAAAACCTTATTTAGCATCTTCTTTAAATCAACTGGTACTGTTTTAATTCATTATGTGGAACGGGGAGCAACTATCGACCATCGATATTATATTGATTATTGCTTAAAACCCCTCATTAACAACATCAGAAGGCGAAGACCTTCATGTGGGGTTCAAGGTATTAAACTCCATCATGATAACGGACGACCACATATCCATGTTTCATCCTCTTCTTTGCTTTTGATTCTCCTTCTTTGTTTTATTTCATCAAATGTTCGAAGTGGTCACCATTGTTATCTACACACAACTGCATTCTTTCAATCCATTTATCGAATGTTTTTCTATATTCTTCTCTATTTAAAGACTCCAGGAAGTTGGATATAGCAGGATACAACGATTCTGAATTGTTTTGATCGGCCAGATTTTCTTTGATGAAGTCGAATAACCAAAAATCACATGGTGATAAATCGGGAGAATTAGGCGGGTGTGGAATTATTGTGATCCCTTCAGATTCGAGATAATTCGATATTTCATGATGGATATGTGGTCCTCCGTTATCATGATGGAGTTTAATGGAATATTTATTACAGAAAATAACTTCTGCTAATGCTTAACAATTCTGCTTGATTATTTTAAAATAACTATATACAACATTCAAGAATAACTATCATTTTTATTGATACCCAAAACGCCGTTGAATATTGTTCATTAAATATTGTCTTAATTCATGATTACGTATAAATAAATTCATAATAATACTCAATAAACATAGTTCAGCAAATAATACTGTTAGTCGAAGGATCATTGGATCAAGAGAATTAAAATAACTTAGAATTATTGCTAAATAACTGGGACTCCATCCAATAACAAACATTGAAAACATGAAAGTCATTTGTCGTAAAAGAGAAATCTCTCGACGACTAATTTTTTGTTGTGCAGCATTAACAGTATTTGTTACTGCACTAATGATTTGTGGGTTAACACGGCGAGAAGAAGACCGAATATGACTAAAGATAAACACATTTACGATGATATTAATCATTGAAGGCACAAATGTAACCAAAGCACAAGTATAAATTCGCATCCATAGTTCATTAACACAATACTATAAACAAATATATTTAGTATTAGTACATTAAACTAAATGATATTTTCTCTTTTTAAAAAGATTCTAAATTTTGTTTGAAGTAGAACCATCAAACCATTCATCTTTATAATTGTTTTGGTTGTCTATCTGCTGATGACGGCAACTAATATAGCTCAACTCATGATAATTATTTAATGATGTGCTAATGACATCGTACACATCTAGTTTTGATAGTAGGAAACAGAATTATCTATCTTTGTGAAAATTATTTGATCGAAAAAAAGATAAATATATACTTACTCGTTCTTTTCTAAGAACGAATGGTAGAGAAAGAATACATTCAACTATCCATTGACTTCCGATACATATCACTACCCATTGTTTCGTCTTGAAAAAGGGTATTGTAAGATATACTATCGAACAGAATCGATGGATAGAAAAAGCCAGAAAAGAAAATTGAACTACAATACTAGCCATACTATATGCATAAAACAAAATAATACATGTTTTGGGAGAATATAAAAGTTGATAATCAAAATAGATCATGGTGAAATAGATAGTAAAATAGATACAAAAACATATTATGGCAAAGCATATATTGAGTATAAACACATTATTATGATGATGAAAACGACGAATAAATAGAATTAATAGGGAATATATAATAGCAAAGAGTAAAATCAGTGTAAATAAAATGTCCATAACAATAGTAATAATATATATTTTGTCCATTATTTTGAAGAATGAAATATTAAATATGTTTAACAAATTACAATAAAATATGATTTATCATCATCACAATTACACTGGTCTCGTTATTACGAAAATGTAAAATGATAAATTTAATGTGAATGTTAGGCGTTCATTATCTTTTATTTTAAAATATGGTACGTGCTTACACGTCCTTTTATGTTTATAAATATATATTTACAGAGAACTGAGAGAGTTGTTAAAGCTGTGATGCGTAAAATAATAGAAAAAGTCAGGAGTTCTTATTTTATTCAGGATAATTAAAAAATGTCCTGTTGTTCGATGATTGGAGAATGATATCGACTTAAATAATTTATTTTCTTGCTTCCTATTAGAAGGAGTTTAGGTATCGTTGAGACTTTTGTAAAATACGGTAGATTGTGAATAAAATGAAGAAATGGGTTTCTAGGTTTTTCAACACGAGCTACCAGAATATGCAAAAATATTGCGTTTTCAAAACCCGTCATGTGCCCATGTATGTCAGAAAAGGCGGTATTCTCGTGGACCCTCTCTTAAAAAAAGCTAGTACAGTGTAGAAATTGTTATTTTTGTATTAGTATTGATGGAAGTGCATGTAATTGGATTAAAGATTTTTCGTTTGAACGAAAATTCTATGAAGAAGTTAAGTTATTTTAAAAGTCTTTTTAGTTAACTTCTCTTGTTTGTTAATGTTTTCATTCGATAGTTCCGTTCATTTTCTTGCTTGTGATGCCGCATCTTGTCGTTTCTTCTCAATATCATTTATTTTGTCTTGCTCAACTTTGAGTCTCCTCGATAAATGTATTGCCATTTGACATATGATTTCCGCTTGTCAATGGGATTCTGTTCCTGTTGTTTGATCGTCCTTAGCTTTGAGTATATAATAATCCGCTGTTTTTCCATAGGTCTCAAGTAATTGATAAAAAAGTGCGTTGGTATCATTTTTTGGCTGTTTTATAGTATCAAGAATTTCATCGAATGTTGAATGAGGATTGCGAATAAGTGGGAGAATTGGACCAGCGAAATCACATTCAAGTTGTTGGGCAATTGAACTCCAGTATTCTTCAGCACCGATGAGATCATTAGATTTCATAAGATAGTGTCCAATAGTCGATATGTCGTTTTTTTCCAATTTTTTATCGAATGGATGTTTTGTAAATTTGTGTAGTTGAAGATGACTATTCGTTGCAGAGTTGCCGGTATTGTGCTCATATTCTTTTAGAAAATGCAATTTTCGACGTTTAATTAATAAACGTCGATCAGAAGTATTAAATTGTGGTAAGCAATTAATCATATCATCGACATTATCTTTACCATCGCTATCCTCATAAATAAAATTCTGATACTGAACTAAAATATTGTAATAACATACACCTTTTACCCATATATTGTTGGTAGTCTTTAGACAGTCTCTATACCATTGTATAGCGATTTCTCGTGATTCATTGCTCGTATCCTCATCGCCATCTAACTCTACCACATCGTCGGTTTCATTTTCACGATACATAGTAGGTATTTTCAAGCGTATTTCAACTACATCTTCCGATGACAGAAGTCGTTGATAGAGTTCCAGAATATCCTTGGGTGTAAGTTTGTTTGCTGTAAAGGAATTTATTATAGTGGTCATTTCATCAATTAATTTAGCGATTTCACTGGGCGATTTCGAGGCATATATACTAAAAGCGGATATATAGGAGAGAATACTTTTGATATGCGATGAGAATTGATCATAAAGAAGGGCACATTGAAAATATGAATCAGCTAATTGTAATATGTTGTTATCTTCAAAACTGCTCGTTTCCCGTATTTTCTTCACCAGAGAATGAAATACTTTAGGTAAAAAGATTAATATACATTGTTGTTCATATGTATATGACTCTTGTTCAATTTTCTGTATTTGTGTATCAAACATGTTTGTATCTGATATATTCTTACAACGTTTTCTGATATCTTTCTCATAATATTTTAGTGACATATATATTTATTGTTTTTAATTTCTCCATCATATGGGACAAGTTTCATGTAAATACTAAGCGCGGCTTTGTAGCCGTTGTGATCATCCTGTTCAGTATCTCTTATATCGCCTAGTTGCAAATAACAATTGGCGAGCTGTTGTAGACGGATAATAAGCGTCGATGCATCGATATTTTCTTGAATTAATACTGTTTTATCATTGATATCGAAGGTTGATGATGGTAATTTTGGTTTTAATATATCGAGAATCTCATTCATTTCTGAAATAGCTTCTGTGTATGCTTGCTTTCGTTTATGATAGCCAGCCAAATGTCGGTGCATACTAATTCGAGCCTTTAAAATATCCATTGATTCTTCTAAAGAGATTGTCTCTTCTTCTAGAATATCATCTTCATCTGCATCGGAATTTTTGTTCTCGGCCACAATGTATTTTTCCATTGCATTCGATAATTTGTCCAATTCATAATAAATATCACCGATAGCATACAAATCTTTCTAATTTTCGGATGCTTATCCGTCAAGTTTAAGCTTTGCACTTCAAGTGCATGCTCATAAAATGCTAATGATTCTCGAAAGCGACGCTCCTGAGTATAACGTTCAGCCATTGATATTAGATGGATAGCTAAACTAGGATGATATTGAGAGAAACAACGATGTTTAAGTACTAGTGAGTCCACAGAAATGCTATCAAATGATTCGTAATTTTTTTGCATCAAAAAATATTTCGCTAAAGTGTCGTAAATGATTACTTTCAGACTAATACGCTTCGTATTGCTATCATTGGCTCTTAATGATTTTTTGAGTGTTTTCAACTTGCCAATGGCAATATCAGGTTGATCGCTTTTCATGTAACAGTCAATACAGGCTAATGTTATTTCAGTTTCCAAGATGCAATCTTTTTGATTGTTGAGAGATTTAAGTACTTCTAATGTCTGACCAGACTTTTGAATGGATTTTAGTAACTTTAATGCCTGCTCGGAATTGTTGATAGATTCTTCAAATTTATGTTGGTGTTTGAACAAGTCAGCCAAGAGAAGATAAACGGCAAACAATATATCAGGATAAGATTGCTGTAGACTTTTGACGCCATATTCGTCGAACACTCAATTGCTTTATCACGATTATATGATGCAGCATGAAGAAGACCCAGACAGAATTTATCAGGTAATCGTGTAGTTTTCTCGTCTTTTGGTTCATTTGTTTCTCTAGATGAATAATATTCCCACACAGGATGATAACTTTTATTGATCAGAATTTTCTGCTCTTCAATTAACGTTGAAGAAATGCTTACTGTATTCCCAGGCAACAGTTGTTCTAATCGTGCCTTACGTTGTAATATTAAACTACGTGTCCACAAACAAATTGCTTTATCAAACAATTTCTGCTTCGTGTAACAAGTACTTATAAAGTCACATAGAAAACAAGACTTGCCTGTCTGACCGAACTATTCAATTCAAACATATTATTTTCTTGTTTATCAACCAATTGTTGTACTGCTGATTCTTCAAATCGTTTAGTAACTTCATCATACTTTTCATTTTGTGCATGAGCAAACATTATGTTCATATGAGTTTGCATTAGTTTAGGATCGTCGGCCGGCACAATACTCTTGTAGAGCTTCAATGCTTCGCTATATTGTTTTTGCGCATTCAGCGAAGACTCCTGAGCACTAAGTAAATGTCCATAATTAGTCAAATATTCAGCTTTAATTAGAGATTGTTCGAGTGCATCGTGAGCAATTTTACTCGAACTTTGCTTGTAAATTTTTTCTGCTTTACTAAAAGCTCCCAATGCTTTATCAAAATCATCTTTTTTGTAATAAACATAGCCAATATTTCCGTAAATCGATGCCAAATATTGCTGATTTGAATTAACCTCTCGTAATTGTATGCGTAATGCTTTCACTAATGTCTCTTCTGCTTCATCCATATGATTTAAGCCTATGTAAGCTAATCCAATATTATTATGAATATTAGCCAATGCATTATTATTCGAATATTCGAGTCGTGCTTGCACATTAAGTGCTTGTTTGAAGGCTTTAAGTGCATCACTATGAAGACCTTGTCGAGCGTACGTCATACCTAGACAAGAATAGATACTAGCGAAATTCGGATCATTGACTAATATGCCTCCATCACATGCTTGGGTTAGAAGTGAACTAAGATATTTCCGAGCTGTTCGATATTGCCCTAATTCCATAAGATATTGAGCAAGTAGAACAGCTCGACTTGATGGTGAACATTCTTCAACTTTTGTACAAATATCATCGACAAGTGTTTTGTCAATTTCCGATGCTGTAAGTTGAACTCTATGGAAAGTTTCATCATTTTTAGGTTCCACAATACCATCAACAGCAAATGTCGAGCCCATACTAAATAAGACTTCTTTTTCTTCCGGATGAAATGAGATACCATCAATATATGCAAATGCAGTACATGGTTGTTGAGGTTCGACTTTGATTTTAAATAAAACTTTTTCATTATCGTTCGAAGTATGTTGTTTTTCCGCATAGCCTTTAGCAATTTTCATATCAGTTGTAACTGATATAAAATCAAGCAATGATATGAATTGACCTTTTTCTTATTTGCCTATCTTTTCTAATTGTTTTTTATCAATATTACCAGCTCGATAGAATGTTTGTGGAACATCACCATGTAAACGTTTTCTTTCTTTATACATAAATTCAATCATTCGACAAAGATCGCTTAAATAATACCGATAGGACATCAATAATTCGAAATTTTCAAGACGTAATATTGTAAATAAACATTCTTCAATTGTGATTGAGCATATTTCAACAAATTTAAATTATCTTTTGTTAAGTCTTCTCTTATAATAACATTTGAGCAGCCAACTTGATTTAAAAATGTACGATTTGAATAAAAAGCTTTGCTTGCTCTATAAGATGTAAATCTAACAAGTAGTGCCCGATGTTTAATTTTTTCACTTTGACTCTTATTTTTTTGTTCTTGTCTGGATGAAATCAATGCTCCAGCTCGATGTGAACGTGATAAATCAGCCACATCAATTGGAATGTCTAATTTCCGAGCTAAATCTAGCACAACGACATCAGTTGACTCTTGAGATTTTTCTGGTATACCAAAAATACGCAAGTTAAGCCTTCTATCATATTGTTCTAAATGATTTAATTTATCTTTGATACCAGTTTCTTCCTTTTGAATTTTTTCTGAACATGCTTTCATTACCGCAATCATTTCACTCTGTTTAACCACAATATTATCTAATTCATTAATTTTGTTTGTTAGCTTTTTCATATGTTCACCTTGTTCATTAATACGTATATCTAGTCCATCAAATATTGTTTGCATTTGTTGAGTCAACGTATCAATAAAAGTTGATGAATTTATAACCGCAGTTATTATATCCTTCAAATGATATTTTGATGATTTGAGTATTCCTTCATCTGATTCTAGATTATTCAACATTTAAACAACTTTTATCCCAATGCACAACTAGTAGCTTTATAAAGAGAGAAGAACGAACAGTGTTGACAGGATGAAAGAAAAAGTTAAACTTAAGTGAGCTTTGATGATGGTTAACGCTCATAGTGCTCACCGTGCATTATAGTTAGAAGCAGTTGGACAAGTTCATCTGTTTCTGAGGTTATCAGAAAAGACACTGAAGATCGCATATATTTTGGTTCGAACTCGGCTAATTACCCATAGTACGCATAATGTTGAAACTATGGGCAAATCACTCAGTCATGCTGTGAAACTAGTTTATAGAAGCATTATTACGCGAATTGAAATCAATAGCTTAGAGCGGTGAGATCAAAACTCCATCACAAGCAAATGCTGCATATGCGATTTACGCTATTCCATGTGACCGCATATATTATTAGCCGCACATAATAGTTTCAGCAATAAATGTCGAATAGGACATCAGAATCAGAAAGTGGGTTGACACAAGAATATCTAGAGGGCACTTTTCATAGTATGGAATAGTGAATATCTCAATAACTAAGAAAGTAGATTATTATCTACTTGCAATGAAAAATGTGCTAACCCAAGAGTTTCGAATTATTTTAATTCAATAAACCAAATAAAGGATATTGAGTCGTTATCGACTGTCCGATAAATTATAAAAATTTAGAAAATTCTTTTTTTCAACAAAGTTTTATGGAGAATGCTGTTTTCAAAACCTGGTCACTAAATTTTCGAAAACTCGATTAGGAAACTGGCGTTCTCTCTGCAATTGATGGTTTAGTTTAAAAAATCGTTCTGGGATTGGACTGATAAAACATTTGATATTAATTATTTTATTTCTCTTCACAGAATAGCATTGGTTATCGGAAGATACGGTGATTTTAATCAAGAAAGTTTTTCGTATCTTTTATCTTATTTATTTTTAAGATGAAATGTTACTGTTGATGATGAAGTTTTTATAAGAATACTTCACGTAGTTTTTGTGGCCCCAAATAAGTTTAAACGTTTGCCGACATATTTGTTAACGCAAACAAAGAAAGTAACTTCCTATTAAAGCTTTAAAATTTAATCAGGATGCAATGAGACGTTCTGAAACTCATAGTCAAAATATTCATAGCGTTTAGGGTGATTATGATATTTCAACGAAGGAAATTGATCTGCATTATATTCGAAATGTTGATAGATATACTTCTTACATTCCACGCCTGAGTGAAAAAATTATGTATGGTTCTCATTAGTCGACTATTCGCAGAACTGAGCGTGGTGTGGATAGAAAATGACAAGTAATATTTGGTCAGAGTTGTAGAGTAGTAGGTCTGGGAAGGATCGACAACATTTAGCGTAAAGCATATAATTGTTCCAGAATTCAAACTAAAATTCATAGAAAATTTTGAAAAGATTTTAAAAGAAAAAAATGTTTTCGATGATTTGGGCAGTTTGCCTAAATATTCTGCGCAAATTTTATTTCTAAACGGAAAAACAACGAATTTTATGAATTTTTCATCGATATTTCAAAACAATGTGAAACAATTATCAAATCATATAAAATCAGTAGGATATCAGCCAAATAAGAAAAATGTTTTAGCTATT